CCTGGTATGCTGGCAACTTTTCTTCCTGTGCTTTTTCAGTTGGTTCCTAGCAGGACTTGTGGGCTGAATAGTTGATAAGAGAAGGTTTCTTGTCCTTATCTTCCTTTTTTTTCAGAAAAAAGACATCTGTGATGGAAGTGTTACTGAAGATGGGGATCTGACCTAAAAAGGGATTGGCCAGCATCTGGTCTGTATTGGTATAGGTTGAGCTATACAGGGATTGACAATATGGGGGAGAGGTTAGGGAACATTTGTTGAGGCAAAGTATGGAGGCCCTAGACCGGGACAGAAACCATAGACCAAGAGTGGAAGGGAGGAGCTGGCAGATTTTAAAATACTTGTGTGAACTGTAGTGTAATTTCTTTTCATATTAAAATATTAATGAACTTGGTTCCTGCCCCTTTTCCTCAAAAGAGTGTTCGAGCAAAGTATAGACGTGCATATTGTTCAGCTGTTGATAAGAATTATGTTACAAAGGAGGTGTTACGGGAAGTAGTTTCAGATTTTTTGTTTCTAAAGTCTGCTTTTTTTGCTCATTGAATTTGCTAATTCTTTTTACACGTATGAACTAACCAAATTCACTGTGTTGCAGGTTTATAGAACTTCAAAATTCTAGTGACAAAGTTAAATATAAGAATTGCGCCGTTTCAATACATTGTGTTTACATTCTGCCATACAACTGCCCTTTCATACCTAATTCAGGAGCGCGTTTCACTACTTCCATGTTCACCAACTCATAACCACACGAAGAGGTTATTCACCACTTCGGAATGAAAGTCCATCTGTTAGTTATTATCTTTGCTGTGCTGCAGCACTTCACAATGAGTGCTTGGGACAGATTTTAAATGCTGCGCCTGGTCTTTGCTCTCTTCTAGGCAAATGCAGATACCTAGGAAATGCTACCCTCTTTTGTAGCTTTTTGTAGCATTAGGGAAAAAAAAAACACAACCTCATTCTTCCCATAAATTAGCAGAAGTTTACTTGTGGATGTTTAGGACTAGGCCTGAAATAGATAGCATGATTTATTGTATCTGAATTATGCCAAGTAAATACCTCAATGTTTCCACTAAGTTCTAGGAAGAAAAATTGTCTTTGTTTAAAATACGTGTAAGGATTTTAGTTGATAACTCTCACAGGAAAATTATGAACATCATTATACAAATATGCATTTTAGTAATATTTGCAATTATTCAGATGGTTAAAATTGTTTGCTTTCTTTTCAGCATCTAGCAGACTAAACTAAAGAAGTAACATGGTTACAATTTATCTCTAATTCCAGATTGCAGATTTTTCTTTATTATTATTATTATTAAAATCAAAGTTCCTGTAGATGACATTCAGGAAAACTGATCAGCAGGGAATTTCCTGCTGTCTGAATTCATGGAGACAAGTTAGGCCACTGAGATGATAGCTGCGGGCTCCATTTGAGGGGAGCTTGTTGTGATGCAGTGACCTAATGCGGCATTCCTGCCTGTGGGAGACAGATTAGGAGACTGAAAGTTTAAATTCCTGGAAGGTGGTGGAATAACTATAGATAGTGAAACTGTCCTTTGCAGAAACTCATAGATACTATCAGAAGTGCAGAGCCACATTAATTTCAGTGTTTTGTGAAAGATAACAAAGCCATTCATACAGCAAATGTAACAGATTATATGGGAGCTGGTGTGGGATTGCTGAATGTTGTTAAATTTTCTGGATTGTCACAATTTTTGTAGGCTTTTAAAATGCCTTCTGTGAGGAAAATTTTATTTATTTTTTGTCCTTTAAAATGCAGTTATTGTTATTTCATTCCGGCTAAAATCAAAAGCTGTGGTCTGCTGAGATTGTCTCTTTGTGGTACTTATAAATGGAGTCATCTTATTAAGAAGAAATCCAGGCCTATTTCTTGCTTCGTGATATGGGCATAAAGCCTGGCTTGGGGCAAGAAAATAATTAGGAAAATGTATTATTAGATGGTGGGTGTTGGACAAGGCAGCTGAGGGAATGCATGTAAGGGAGAGAGAAAATATATGGGAAGTAAGTACCAGGGAGGAAGGAAGATTGAGAGAGAAGGGTGCAAAGAGAACTCCCACTGAATGCAGGGGTCTGGAAGCCACAGCGCAGACAATTTGTATGAACTGGGCAGTGGGAGTAAAGAGAAAGCAGCGGGAGGGTTTAAAAGAAAGGTGTGAAAATGGGATGTCTGTCAGTCGTCAGCTCATTTGGAGCCCGGCTTACCTTCAAATCCATCCTGTCATGAAAGGCTGGAGGAGGTTGTTTAGGATGACAGCTTCATTCCGTTAAGCTGGTTCCTGCAACTGGCCCTGGAGCATGGAAGAGTCCAAGTGAAAGGACAGGCTTACACTGGTTGTTATTCATTTTACTGGGTTGGCACCCGAAGTGCACAGTGAGGGAGGGGCCAGAAGAAGGTTGCAGCCCGTTATGGGTTCTTACTGAGCGGGTTACGCAGTCCCAGTGATACGGGACAAGTAAGTAAAAATGGTGATAAAAGAATATCTGGTAATACCTGATTACCAGGCTCTTCCTGCTCCATCTCCTAGCTGTGGTGAGACCAGTTCCCTGCAAATTCACAGGACGACCTGCATTACAGTGTTACCCTGCATCCTCAGCTCATCCTGGTGAATAATCAGTACAGGAAGTTACAAGACTTGTACAAAATGCCATTTCATTTCATTTTTCTCCAAACAGGTCTAGCCTTTTCATAAGTAAGAATTAAAATTGTGTGTGTGTGTATCTAGACTTCTGGAAAAGCCTTACAGGGGAGTCTTCTTTTGCCCATAGGTCTGCGTTGTTCACCCTCAGATGTAAGACTTTGTTCTAGTTCTGGGACAAAATTGGGAAGGTTTTTATCATGGCAAAATCGGCCAGAGAGAACCTGAATAGTCAGTCTTGCTCAGGAGCCATCCTCTATTAGACTCTGGAATTGAGTGACAAGTATTAGTTTTCTTCTGAGAGCTTTTAAGAATGCACAGTCAAGGAAGAAGTTGGCAGGTGGATTAGCAGAAAACTAAACTTGCACTTGTGTATAAAGTAGGGAATGTGGTAGACTGAGGTCTTTTTGGATAGCATAGACAATAACAGGAAAGTTTAAAAAAGAGAAGCATTAAGATCCTTTGTTATATTCTCCCTAAAGTTTACAGCCCACATTATGCACTAAAAATTTGGATGTCTTCTCTGTCACTGTCAACCAATAAAATTTACTTTAAAAACAAAAAATGATAAAGCTCCGGCTTGGTGATCTAACACTTCAGTAATTTACTATCATAAAATGGTTTTAAGTATAAATGTTTTATCTTATGCCAAGCTGGACGCTAAAGATGTTTTGTCTAAAACATGAGATAATGGAAAGTGTATTGTGGCATGTGAATTACTTTAGCCTCTTGGTGGTAAATGTTTGCTTAACCAGAAAAGAATGTGTTGAGGTCCTTGCCAAAGGAAAGGTATTGCCATACTTTGTATTTAGAGTACTGTAAATAAAGCTGTAAATATGTTTCTGTTCGTGTGTGTTAATCCACAAGTTATCAATGCATTCATTCAGTAAGAAATGTAATATACTGTTATCCCTTTTAAAGGGTTTCGGTAAGAAGAGGTCATAATTACTTTGGGTTGAGAGAAACGTGAAACCAAATATTTTCATGATGATTGAAGTTGAATATGAGAGAGAAATAATTTTTGCTCAAACTAAGTTTCCTTTAAATCCCAAGAACTCGAATCCTGTTTTACCTTCAATATATTCTTCTTGTGTGCTGACTCCTCTGATGTACCGTTCTTAATCACACATTACTGCAAATCATAAAGTATAGAATTTCCTTCACCCATCCAGTGTTGTTTTTGGCAAATGAAAACCGAGCTGCATAATATCTTAATGATCAGAGAAGGTAGAGCAGCTATGGGAAATACTCCGCTTATTGCCCACAGTGTATTTTGGCTTTGAACTTCATTTGCCTTTAACTGATACAATAGCTTAGCAGTAATTTAATAATGCTGATTACAGAAAGAATTGCATAACTCAGATTGCAGTGTAATAACCTCAGAGCATCTCTTGGATGCCGCAGTTACAGCAAGTGAAAGCAACAGGGCTTCTTTTACGGAGGGCTTTGAAATATCCCTTCCATTCCCTAAAATCCCCCGTCCAGGTTTCCAGTTAGAGAGGTGGGAGAGAAATATTACAGTTTTAGGAATTTTTGGAGAAGATGCTCAGTTTACTTTTTATTACTGTGTCATCATTTGTCGTGTACCTGGCTTCACCCTCCAGGGTGAAGAGGAGCCCTTTTCTGGAAGAGGACTGCGCGTCCAAATCACGCGCCTCTTGTAGCACACACGTACGCGGGGATTTCTACAGGGAGTTTCTTGCAGATCGTGCTGTGAGCAGAGATTTGCTTAGGCATAAACGGGGATATTGTACCGTCTTTTAGAAATTACTGCCCCACTGTTCTGGGTATCGGAGCCCTTCAACAGAAGCAGAGCTTTAAGTGCTTCCAATATACCTTTGCTTTGGTAGTTGTTCAGATATGCTTTTTATTTAATCTTCCCAGTATTTCACTGATAATTCATAAGGAAACGTGATAAATAAAGTTCACTACTAATCATGTAAACTAAACCTGTAATGTTAAAGCCCGTAAGTAGCACATCAAGTGTTATTTTTAATTTAGAATCTGATTTTGGTAATATATGCATTTTGATAACCCTATGTCCATATCCATTTTTGGTAAAGATATTCATTAAGAACTCATAAAACATTTCAGCCCTTAGAGAAATTGGACTTTGATTCTCCTCTTGTTCTTCTGCTTAGATGTTAAGAGGGTCTAAAAAAAATGATGTAGTTGGATAATAAGACTTGAGATGTCATTTAAATCATAAGATAGTTTTTCTGAACATTGTGTCATCTGAAAATCCTGTGAATTGCTAGAAAATGCACTCCCCCCCCAAAAAAAACAGAGGTGTATGTTATGTCCTTGGTAGTATTAAAATCCAGAATAAATTTCCCTATTATTTTTAAGGTACAATGAACTGGATGCCAGTAGAAGCCTCCTGGACAATTTGAAAGGCAAAGTAATAATTGAGTATCCAACATTATTTGTGGTCTTGAAAACGCTGAAGAATGGCATGGTGGTTCTTGGCGAAGGTAAGCATATATTTATTTCCTGTTATGTTGTACTTAGATATTTTAGTTAAATAAACAATAATTAAGGGTATGCCTATTAATAATGCCGGGAATGTGCAGTATGTCTTGTATTTCCCTCTGAATCTAAAAGATTGCTGTTAAATAGCTGTTATGAATGCTCTGTCTTAAAACTGCTGACTGATGGCTTACATCCATAAGCTGTATTGTATGTGTTTTTCCTAACTTTGCTTACTGGTGCTTGATTCTTTTTTGTATTTTTTTAGCCACTGAGGTAACACAACTCTTCAGACTTGTGCTAAATTTTGTACGTAGCAAAGTTTGACAGAATTGGTGATTTCTAAAAGTTCAAGCTATCTGGGGAAGATGAGTTTTAAGTAAGACTGCTAATCATGCAAAGGAATCATTCTCCATTATTTCCTAGCATAACTCCTAATATTGGACACATAATTCTCAATTACAGGATAGTTATTAGAAATTGTAATGGCAAAGTAGCTTTTCAGGTGAGTTAGAAGCACAGTGTTGTCTTTTGAAAAGTACTTAGCTGAGGGAAAACTTTCATCTTTGAGTTTACTTAGAGGAGAGTACAAGTCTAGCGTGAATTTGTATTTTAGTTTTGAATTTAATTTCCATCTTTCTCCCCAGTATAAAGGGTTCGTCTCCCAGCTTCGCTTTCTCCAGCTGCTGATAGAGGGAATCGGTTCCCTTGTCTCTTAGTCCCCCAGCTAGACACCTTAGTTATCAAATCCCATATTTTTACAGATTTCTGAGGAAAAGCTTCGAAATGTGTTTGCAATGGCTATTGCCCTGCAGCAACTCAGTCATGGCTCTGTATGTATATAATTTGACTAAATAAATATGAGACTGAGAATATTATACCAGTGATACCAAACTTCCGTGGATCTTGGCTGTTCTAGCTAGATGACACTAGGTGATCCGCGGGAGCAATCTGCTCTCAGAGAAACAGCATGCAAACGTTCGTGCCCTGTGCACTGCAGTTGCCGCTGAGAGTGAGCCACCATGCCAGGGGGTAAGGTAGGAGTCTCGTCTGAGCAGCTAGGTCCACTGATCCTCGCCCTAGGACTGCGCGTACGTACACTAGAGTACAAGAAAACTAGGTACTTTCAGTTTATCCATTATTTCTTGATCTAGATGCCTTGCTTTTCAGTCATCAGCCCTACCCCTGTGATGTAGATGTCAGGAGGGAATTACAATTAATTGACTCATAAACTTAATCTGTATAGGGTGGTGGCTTTTGTCTCCTGAGCTAGTAGGGACGTTGTCTTTTTAAGAGTATAGATTCAAATAAGAGTTGATTGAACAACTGCGTTTTGTGGTCATGCTGCCGCAGCAACTAGCCAATTCTGTAAAAGGCAGGGTAGAAGGGCTAAGGGAAGAGGGAGCCAGTAACAGCTGAGGAAGTGCCGACAGCTCTGTCACAGGGCAGCGCGGGTGTGTTTCTTCGAGACAGTGACCTGCTGCTGCTGCTGGGATTGTTCAGTTAGCAGTCATACCCGAAGCTGGTATTCAGGGAACCCTTGCAGCTATTTCAGGTTTTGGGAACCATTAATTTTCTTCTTTTTTTTAAAAAAAAAGCTGTTTCTATAGATTCCATAAAAATCAAGTGCATAGCTCTCTGTTGAGGGTCTTGGGTGTAACATACCAAAAGATTATAGTTAATGGCAAAAATAGCATGATTTTCACAACTTTTATCAATTTGTATTTTTACATCTACTTATTTAACACTTAACCCTTGGGTTTGGTTTGGACCCTGTGTTCTTGAAGACTTTTCTGTTAAGAATAGAAGCCTGCCACAGTAGCTCCAGATTCTTTCGGAAGAAGTGTGTTCAGAACATGAATATAAAAACAGGAGAGCTTTTTTGTTGCTGCTATTCTGCTTGAGGACAAAATATCACTTTTGTTGAAGTGTGACACAGTCACTGTACTCTTCTGTTGTGTGTCATCTTTACAGAATAAAGGAGAGAAAACAGTATTTAGTTTGCTTTACCAGTTGCATTCACAGATAGTTGCTAGGAGTAGAGATCCTGGGTTCACCTCCAGGGAGTGGTCTGTTGTGGTCAGAGAGGTACTTTCTCCCAGTCGCGTCTCCCAAGAAGTGACCTTGCTGCTGCAGCATCTTTTGTGTTTCTTGCAGTCCAGTTTCTTCAACGCGTGTGGCGCTTTGTATCAGTTGCGCACTCCTCCTAAGCCATCCAGCCTGCTCTTGCTTACCGTGTCTGTACCAATACTGCCTTTCCTTTCTGCCTTCCCTCTCCACATGCACCCGGAGGGACGCTTGTCTCGGAGCGCCTGCCGGGCGCACCCCCCTTTGCATGCCAGTCAGACAGCTGCCGCGCTGGCGAGCGGACGTCTGGCAGCGCGTCTGCCGGAGCACGGGGACTGCGACTGCCATAGCCACCAGGTCTGCTTGCAAAGGCCTCGGGCTAGAAGAACAAACAAAGCCTTGTGGGAATTTAACTTCTAAAATGATGTTTCTTTACTGAGCAATCTCAGATCTACCCCCTTCCCCAGGAAAAACAGAGGCAAGTTTTCAAAGACACAGTAACAGGCATAGAATCATAGAATCATGGAATGGTAAGGGTTGGAAGGGACCTTAAATATCATCTGGTTCCAACCCCCCTGCCATGAGCAGGAACAGCTTCCACTAGACCAGGTTGCTCAGAGCTCTGCTCCCAAAGGCTGGGGGCAGAGCGAGAGCTGGACACATCCAAAGAGAGACTGGTAGAATTTACTGAGGACAAAGCTTCTTTCCGGGGTAAAATAGCTGGGGGGGGGGGGGGGGAAGCAAAAAAAGGAATGAGGAAGGAAACTGGCATGGAAAAATTTAAACCCAGAATTTAAATTTTACATTACAAGTAAACTGCAGATGGTTTTATGGTGGGAAGGACTGGGCAATCTTAATTCATAGGCAATGCTATCACCACCATAAAAATATGTTCTTTTTGAGTGAAGACAATCTATAATTCCTCTTAAATAAAACTTACTGTAACAGACTGAACAAAAGCTAAAATTTGTCTGTTGAGCTTCACTGTGAGTCAGAAGATTGCCGCATTCTTTTATGTGATGTTTTGATGCTTGACTTGCTTATGGCAAAAAATACAGGTGCTCTGATTTCAGCATACGAGGTCAGTCGTGGCTGAAGACACTAGGGGATTATAGAAGCTTTCACAGGATTTAGGGGCAAAAACAATCCTTACTTTGTGCATTACTCAGTACATATCTGGCATATAAATGTTAATTGATTATACACTAGATTTAATGTAGACAAAATGTGACCTCCAGTGTTTCTGGGTGAAATGCTTCTATTTTCTTGAACAAATTCCATTGAAACTGTACAGGTGCACACTGTGTCCTATGTATTGTACGTGTTTGCCAGCTGTAGAACTTAGCTTGACAAGACGGTAACAATACTGCATCGGCTCCCTTTCATTAACATTTCCTTAATGAAGCATCTGACACTAAGTGCTCAAAAACTTCTTCAAATTCATAGTTGGATCGAATACTGAAAATAAAAATGAGAGCAGCGTGTGAATCATGGGCCTACTTTGCTGTAGTTTATTTCTGTGCTGCTTGAGTGCCACCGAGCAGTGGCATTTGGTGACCTCACCACAAGGTGACCGGGCTCAGTGCTTGCCAGAGAAGGACTCTCAGGGTGTGAGGCTGAAGACTGGTTTGGGCAATGGGTGCTTCACAATGCAATCTCAGCAGACCACGACAGCTGTGTCCTAAAGCACAGGGTACAGTGCAGCTTTAACCTCATCAGCCTTAGCTTGGGGATTCACATAACTTAACGCCGTCTTCAGGATTCTGGAACTCGTGGAAGGAGCACATAGGTGCATCATCTTAATTTTCCATTTCCCTTTAGAATTTCTTGGTGATTCCCCATCTTAACCGAAATGCTAATAAAAATTTAAATGATTTATGATTCATTACAGTTATCTACGTAGCAACCCAGAAAACAGGATTTAAAGAAGCCAAAAGAACAATTTGAAATTCTCTTCAGTGACTGAAGAGAAATAGGTTTGTGTGGGGTAAATACTCTGCTTACCTACTTGACCGAAAGACCAAGATTTAAAAACTAATAGAAATTCTTGACATTGTCTTGCTTTCTTCAACAACAAGGTCCTACCCAGAGCTTTGTCCCATGTTATGAGACTGGTTATGTCTTATGAAGTAGCTGTCTTCGAGGAACGTGTGATTAAAAGGAAAAGAAGACACGAAACTGCTTCTGTTTGATGAGCAAACAACATTGCTGAAACTAATTGCTTGTCTGTTTTTTGTTTGTGTCCTACACCCTCAGATGCCAGTGAATCTGCAGAGAACTCGGAGAGTGAAAATTCATCCCTTTCATCTATGGAAGAAGGGGAAATTCGGGATAATTGATGACAATTATTTGAGAGAAGAGGGTGGAATGAGCCTTTTTTTTTTTTAATTAAATCTTTTTTTTTATACAACTGAGTTCTCAGGTTTGGTTTGGCTTCCTTCACTAAAGGCAGCATTTCCAAACTGCCTATTTTTGGATTTAGGGATGCATATTTAGGGATGTATATAAAGAGATGGAATTGCTGGTTCCAGAAAAAAATTATATTCTTATTTAATTGCACCATTTTGTCCATGTATCTTTAATAAATCAGAGTAACCCAAATTTAAAGTTGTCAAGTAAGTTTCAACAATATATTTTTTGCTTTTACCTTAACAGCTCAGTGTCTGTTTTCTGACTTTAAATACCTCGTCACATATTTGTGTTTATAAGTGGATTTGAGTCTTAATGCTTAAACTTACTGAAAAAAAAAACAAAACACTGGTGTTTCATTAGATTAATTTTCTTTTAAGCTATTTTCTTTGTCAGGCTGAACTGCTGCAAATGATCTTATTTAACTATTGACTTTAATCTTCTGTGGTGACATTTTGGGTGCCTGGTGCAATACTTGTTTTTTTTTTTCTTCTTACTCGGTTATGTCTTGTTTAGTGTGTTAAGGACAGGTCAAACCATGTTTTCAGGGTGGCATGTTACTGTATATTTAATCTTCTACCCTGATCTTCGAAATTAGCAGGGGTTTTAAAAACAATAAAAATGGATACATAGTGTCGCTAGTGCTAATATATTGGACTCCTAAGCAATGCTTATGTTGTGCATCTCATATTACTAGTTTACCTCCTGAAGATGGGTATTGTAAATACTTACTGGAATATCAACTAAATTTACCTACTTAAAACCAAATAAACCTTAAAAAAGAAAGTCCCGTACTGTACCATCTGCTGACAATAGAAGATTTCTAGATTCCAGACCACATATCACTGCGTCTGCGTCCCCTGTGGCTGTGGGGTCTGTTGGAGGATGAGAGTGGTGTGAGACAGGTCGGCCCCTCTGCACGCTTGCACCAGAGAGCTCTCAGGCATCAGCACAGGCGTTTGGGGTTAGTTTGCAAGGGTCTAGCTAAGTCAGCGTTGGTCAAGTCTTAAGGACACGATCGCTTTGTGAACAGCTCGGTGAGGTTGTTGCTGCCATCGTTGTTACCCCAGTCTGTTTCTCTCCTGCTTGGGACTAGCACCTTTGTGACAGAAGTCAGTGGCACAGCATGCACTGCTGTGAGGGCGGTTCTTCAGTCGTAAGTGATCTTCCTGCCAGCGCTGATGTGATAGGCAGCAAGACAGCAGAAAGCGGTGCAGGAGCTTGCTGCTGTGACAGGAGGCTGTGACAGCGGTATGGGGGAGGGCTCGGGCTCCCAGGCTCTCCGTCTAGGAGTCGGGGCACCAGGGTGTCGGTTCCTCACCAGGCATGATGCATGAGCAGCGTTTTTGAGATGTTCAAAGCTTTAGAAGGTATTTTTTTCACACCTTTGCAAACAAATTGTCATTAAAAAATTGTTCACCGTGACCTCTAGCTACTGAAGTTTAGAAAGTGCGTCGGACCTTTGTAGTCTCATACTGCTATTTCTCACAGCGGTACCACATGTCCTTTTCCCCCTTTTGTAACCCCTGGTAAAACAGGGAAGTTTTTCTTCTTGCCTGGCAGTAGCCACCTGTTCTCTATGTTCTTTTTTAGTGTCATTGATCCTCTGCCCACCTCTTGTTTCAATGTTTGGGTTTTTTAACCCTTTTTAAAGGACCGAGGTTCCTAGCTATAGGTGCTGCTTGCATATTTTTTCAGTTCAGTGAAAGTGAATAAGCTTTTCCTAATCAGTGATTACTGCATGCTGACTTGGTAGCCACAAATTACTTTAAACCAGTCTTGAACCCATCCATAATAACACTGATAAAAGAGCAGGACAGCAAAACTGCCACAGTTCTTTTGCCAGAAAATGTTTCATCTGGAGTAAAAGCATGGTGTTTCTGTTAAGATTCATAGCACACAGTGGAAATTAGGGTGCTGCAAATATTAGTGTTGATCTGCATGTGTGTGATTAGCCTTTGGCTGAGGAATGCAGATTTGTAATTTGCATTACTTTCCTTTGTCTTATATGAATCTAGTTTAAGCACCCTTGTGAGCCAAACGCAACCGTAATTTGTTTTTAAATGAAGATGCTGTTAAATCCATCCTTCAGATTTAAATCTTTTCCTATGTTAAAGTAGGTTTTAAAAAATGATGAAGGAGCATTCCTGTGGTGAACAGCTAGAACAGAAATTTCCCAAACAAAGCTGGGAATCATCTTCCAGAGTTCAATCAAAGTGAGAGTAAAAGGCCGTGGTAGGATTTGCCATTTGTTCCCGGGTTACTGGTTACCTAATTGTATTTGGTTTTGATAACGGTTACACTGGTTTGAACAGTGGTGATTCATCAAATGCAAGCCAAGATGAAATTCAAATATTTTTACTCAGTTTTGCTAAACTTTATCAATTTTTGTTTATAAAAATTTATCAAAATTATGGTCTCTGGCTAAAAGCACAGCCACAGGTGACCAGTGCACGTCCTGCAATGGTGGTAATTCTTCGTAATAATAAGGTTAGTGGTTTAATAAAAATTTATGTATTCTTGGGCTAGGCAGATGGTTTTTAACATTTTCATAGGCAGCTGGGGGAAGTTTTCAATTCCTTTCTGAGTGACTTCACCCAGAACGAGCATCTTGTAATAAATTGAAGAGAAAAAATGCAAGTTTGAAAGCTGTGTTTTTAAATTTCTGGTCAAGCGTTTGAAATGTAAGCCATGGAGCCAGGGCTAGCTAGAAGACTTCAGTTCTGTCCATTTTGAAAACATACTATTGTAATCATATTATACGAGGATCCCTACAGGACCCTGCCTTGATTCAGCGCAGATGATGTCTGAATGAAAACTGTGTGATGTTGCTTTAATCTTCATCATTCAGCACTAGCTTCCGTTGAGTGCTTGGTTTTCTGCCTGCTACACTTACTCATTTATTTCCCTCTATAAACTACTTGTCACAGAAGGAACAGGCTATTTGTGTGTAGCGATGTTACGGCACTTCTTTCAGTGTTTATACTCTTCAGGTTTAAAACCCTGAACCCTCAACAGCATGCTTGAGCTGAAGGACCATCAGCTTACAAAGCAAAGAGTGAAGGCTCTTGTCCTGAATGAACGTGCTACTTCAAAAAATTAAAAGCTTAATGAAGTCATCCCTTTCACAAGCCGTAAAGGACAAAAATAGAGCATAGCTGAGCGCATAGCGATAACTGAGAGGTAGGATTGAGTCAGCCGTACGAGAGAACTTGGTTCTTTTCCTTTTTTGTATAATTTCCTTGGGTGTATGAGGCGTAAGTTACTGAGTTGTCATGGGTAAACAACGTTATAGCCCCTGTCAGTGTAACAGCTAAGTTTTGAATGAACACATCAGAATTCTATGTTTTGCTGTATTCATCTCTGCATTAGGGACCGTTGGTCCCTAGAGGAAAAGAGGATCGTGCTGCAGAGTGTGTGGCTGGCGCGAGGTCTTGGAGGCATGCCGGACCACTTTTTGGTACTCTAGTCCAACAGTGCAGTTTTACTTCGCGTTGGCAGTGAAACTGTTTACTGTGCAGAACACGCACTCTGGTGTAAAAAAAGTACATCGATTCCCAAGTTCACCGTGGTGCTGACAGCAGGTCCCACCTGCGCATTGTGTCTGAGCAGAGCGGATTCAGACCCTGCCCTGCCCGACGTGGCTGTTCTCTGTTGACATCGGTAGGAACGGAGAACGTGTAAACCCTTGCAAGAGTAGGCTCTCAAAGTGTAAATACTCAGCTGTGGTGATGTAACTTCAGGCCGTATTTGGTCACAAACATTTCATTCTGCTTTCTGAAGTCCCGCGTTCTTTTCCTGAAAACATTTGTTCTCCCTCCCTCCAAAGGAAAAAATATCTTGAACTTATGTTTATGTTGTTGCTATGACATTCAGTTAAACTGTATGCAGATGCAGGTTCTGTTAATAAGAGAAAAAAAAAATGAGCTGTGTACTTCAGTGAACGAAGATTACCCTGTGTTTGTGTTAAAATGTTGCTATGGCAGTGCATATGGTTTTATTTGGTGGAAATTTGTGGTGAAGTGGAAGGAAGTCACATGTATGCAAGACAAACAAGAAATGGCAGCAGAAACAACTCAAAATAAATACTGAAACTGAAAGGGAAGTTGCAGATGCCATGTAAAACCAGGAAAAAACAAGGGTAGTTGTTTGCAGCCTGCCTGTGTGTGATTTGATAAGAGAAACGCGTTCCCACTGTGTCCTGCCGGGTCTCAGTGGCCCGTCGGGCAGTGACTTAGCTCTGATGATGTTTTTGTTGTGAGAGCTTCTTTCCCTCCTCGGCTCTGTGCGTTGTAACATTTTTTTTTTGTTTTGGAAGCAGAGTTCCACTGGCTTGGCCTGCTTTCACCACTGTGAACTTTTCCTGCCGAAACACATTTCCAGGCTATCTTATTGTAGTAGGCTTTTTGGCAGGAAAAATCAATAGAGTGATAAAATATGGAAAGCCACTAGAGCCTTGCCTGCGTTCGGGGCAAGGGGAAGTGTTTGTGGTCTGACTGGCTCCTACTAGTGATAGAAACTGTGGATTTTTGGTTTTTCTTTTTATCTGGCACAGTAGTCCTCATATTTATCTAATCCTTTAGCGTTAGGCTTCTTTTTACATCAATTGCATCAGTGCAGCTGTTTGTGGGGTTGCGTGGCAAATCAGAGCAGGTTAAAAATAATCTGCCAAAGAAGCAGGGATAGAAATGAGAGGGGAGAGGGAGTCCTGATTTAGAGAATAAATAGCCACGCCGGGAGCTGGCTGGTTCCTGCATCATCCCCGCTGGTGGAGAAAGCAAAAGTGTTTTTGAAATCACATTGCCACTTTCTTCATGTTGTCGGAGTTCTGCCTCAGGAAGGAGGGAGGAGTGACTGTGAAAGCTGCTGTTGCCTTTCCACTCCTCGCTTCCAGATTTTCTACTGAATGATATTGTAGCGCCAGAACTCGTCCGTTTTGCCAAGAGTGCCAGCAGGGAGTAGGGATATGTCCGAGTGAGGTGAAAATTAAGTTGGTGGATGTGAGGTACAGACATTCAGGAAAAAGAGCAGACAGGAGTGGTGTTAATGGCTTCCCTGCGAAGTGCCCATCACTTTCATATCTAAACTCTCATGGGTATCTCTTTGCTGACCTTTTTTCCCAGCCTCTGCTTGCAGCTGTGCTTGAGCATCCGTGTTGATTTTAATGGGATTGTTCTGCTACAGCACGAGCATCTGCTTCTGTAGAGTGAAATACATGTTCCTGTCTTAAGTTCTCATTCATAGACTTGCTGGTTTTGCAGCCGTGACATCTTGATGTCTGATTTTGTCAAATTCAGGAGCTGATTAGGATCTACCCTGGTTGGTTTGAGATACTGAAGGAAATCAGTAACTTCTGAGAAACCGGTGTGCTTCACTCAGATGATCTGCTGGGCTCTGGTGTTCAACCAGTGTTCTCGCAATCCTGCTGGACTGCACTGCTGACTGTTCAGCTGAGGTCTGCAGCGGAGTCCCTTCGTTCTCACTGGGACTGCCTTCATCCTGAGGTTAAGCTGCTGATGTGTGTGTCCTAGCTAGATTCCCATCTGGGCAAATCTATACACTCTGCCTTTAAATTTCATCTGTCCTGTAAACAAAAACCTTTACAAAATCTTGCGTCGCCTTTTCTTCCTGGAGGGTTGCCACATTCCATTCTGTAAGTGTACTTCAAGCCAGATGAGGTTGCTTACGTGAGCGGTGCCATGGGGTCTTTCAGGATCTTCTCCAATATAAATTGTGTATGTAGAAGTCATAGCTCTGTAGTCTTTCTGGGGGGGGGAAATCGTAGCATACTGGATCCTTTCTGTTTGGTTTCTTGGTGTTTGGTCTTTACAGGACAATACAGACAGATGTTTATTGTATCGTTTTGTTGGTTGAAGTCGTCTTTTACAGGGTTTATGTTTTCTAGACACCAAGTCTCACTGCAGCTCAATGTGGTTCAGTTGTTCAAGAGCTGCAGCACGTTTATAGCTAGTTGCGTGTTACTGCTTTCACTGTGCACCTCTGCTTTTCGGTGTGCTCTTCTGTACGTGGCTATGGAACGTGGAGGGAAAAAATTGTGGAGAACAGGGACACGTCAACATGAACAAACAGGCGTGAGGCAGAGCAGCCGGTGAAACCTCACAGCCTGCGCCTGCTGCATGCTGAGCACTCTGGGCACCGCGTGGAAATTCTCCCACTGATAAAGCCGGAGTCAAACGAAACGTGCGCGTGCCTCGGAGTGCATTTCTGCAGGGCTGGCTCTGAAGGGCCAGCGTCCGGCAAGAGCCAGCCTCCGGTGCGACACGTTAACTGCCTCTGCGTAGGTGGATTTGACTTCCAGCCTGGAACGGCTGCCCACTGCAGACGTCCTGGTTTCCCTCCTCAAGAGCTGTGCAGCTGTGGCTCAGACTCCTGCGTGCCCAAGGCTGTGGCAGAGCTCCGTGCTGGGAGCAGGGGGGGATTCGGCGGACAGAGCCAGGGCTCCAGGGCTGTGCCCGGCTCGGGGACGCGGCACGGCGCGGGTGGCTTTGCTTTGGCCTGGCGCCGAGGTGCGCTGGAAACTGACTGCTGCTTGTCGCGTACGCTGTTTGTTACCTCCCGAACTCCTCATCTTGTAGTATTCATCTGGAAGAAGGACATCGACATTTCAGTTTTTGACCAAGAAATAAAATTACAGTTGTGCTCATTAACCGTACCTGTAAGCCCTGCTGTCTGCTCTTAAAGGAACCCGTGCTTTTACCACGTCCATTTTCACGCCTGGTGTTTAGTTGTTTGGGGTTTTTTTCTCCTGGAACAAGGAGGATATAAAGATTTCAAAAAAAGATTTTTTTTTGACGCTACACAAAAAGCGACACCGATTCCCTGCGCAGTGTCATGGGTTTGCGGTGCGGCTGTGGAACGCAGGCTGCGAGGAGCGGGCTGCCCGTGCGGGTGAGGGTCAGCTGGTGTCAGACCCCAGCCCTGGGAGAGCTGCAGTGCGTCTTGGTGGGGTTCACTTCCTCCCTGTGTAGAACGATGCCTTCATTTAGTGTCCTGTACTCTTAGATTTGCACAGTCTGCCCCTGCAGCCCTTGTTCTCCCAGCAGCACCTTTTCCTAGAGAGCAGGCTGCAGAGCCAGCCTTTCGCTTGGTGAGACCCGGGAAGCCAAAGTGCGGGCGGTGCAGTCCAGGGCCTGGCTGGAGCCACACGGGGAGCAGGAGTTGCAAGGGCCGCTTTGCTCTCTGCGCCGTGTGCGTGTTGCAGACACACGGTCTGCGCACGTAGTGTACTCACAGGTATATGTCATTTTTCAAGGAACTGCTGCTTACGTTGGTTTGAAGATGGGTGTCATTCAAGCGTAAGCGATGGTGGGGATGGCAAGGAATGTGTGTGCAGCTGCCGTGTGTCTGTGAGCAGCAGGGCTGCTCCTCTTCCTCGCTCCGTGCAGCAACCCAGCACAGAAACCTGACGATTTCTCAGCGTGCGGCTGAGGCGGTGACATGTTCAGTGCTAGATGTAAGTAGAAGCCAAACAAAAGTGCTTCACTGCACTTTACACTTTTACTGTCAACAAATATTGTACAGACAAGTTGAGGTACAGCTGAGCTGGTGGCCAGGTGGTGAATTCCAGAACAGCTCCAGTTCTGAATGCCCGCGGGGAGAAAACTTGACTGAGCAGAAGTGAGAGGGTTGTAATTTCTCAGGGAAAGCATTAGCTGCCAGAGATGAGCTGCTGAGATATTTGGCTGTTCATTGAAATATTTATGTCTAACCTAATAAAAAGTTGACTGTTAACTGCTTCTGCATCTACCTATGTGACACTGGAGGACACCCCTTCACAGTTCTAAAACCTCAGACTCTGTCTCTGGTTTTTATGGGAAGTAGCTTTCTTCCTAAAGCCCATGGGAGGATGTTTTTCCAGACAACTAACCCGCGAGGAGGGGAGAAAAAGCAACAACCTGTTGGCGGTTTCCTGTCAGGCTTACCTGTGGCACAGCTTTATGCTGACCTGCACAGTACAAATGTTCGATGCCGCTTTCTCAGCTCCTCCTCTAGTTCATTTTTTGAAATGTCATTTTCTTAATGCATGCCAGCTATATTAGGGCTCTCTCCATTAGCCAGATGTCATCGGTGTCCCCCAGGAGCAAGTGCAATTACATCCTTAAAAAGCGGGAAGGGGAGGTGAGGATAAGAGCGGCTGCTTTGCCGTTTATGCTATGGGAGAAGTACTCGAAATTCCTCACATTCTTCTCCTGTTAACAGTATGTTTACTTTTCATCACTGGGTTATTAGGATTAACAAAAGTCATTGCTTCGAGCTCACTTAATTTGAATTTAGTGAAAGCAGACTGCCTCCTGCAGACTGCAGGAAACATTCCTCTGCCGCAGAAATGTATTAATTTGCAAAAAGCAGCCACCAAAAAGCGTGAGACCTGAGGACCGCTTCCACCCCACTGTTGGACATCAGCGTGCATGCGCTGCATTCTAATGAAGTACCTTATGTTGCAAATTCCAGGACAGTTTGAATAATCTGACAGTCTAATTAACATTTCAGTCTCTCTATCAAACATTCACTTTCAGCACCAAGCAGCTTTTTCCTGTCTCTGCTCTCTGGAGTGTGGGGCTGCAGACACCACTTCAAAATGTCATTTACCCAAAGAATTAGACTCGGCTTTCTCGTCCACTGCTGCATCTGGTGTAGAGCTTGTTTTAAACTTCCAGAGAATCTTAAGATTTTCAGAAGTCAGATTTTTCCCAGAAATTTAAGTCTGTTGCCTATGACAGTGCTCTACTAGGAGTGGTTAGGTAAATATTTTCTTTATTAAATGATTAATTCCATAAATAAATTCTTTTAATTCATTGAATATAAAATTAAAATCATTTACAACTTATTCCAGTATTACAGGGGCTGGAAGGGGTAAGAAAAAAACCCTCAGAGAAAAACACAAAAGCTACAGTTTGATAAATAAAATACTCAGCTTTAAAACAACTGATTTCTGTTTGCCATTAAACTACAGTTGGTACATAATAGCTGCCACTGTGAACACCCCACAAGTGCCCACCTCAGGAAGGAATGTAACTTCCAACTTGGTTGGGGAAGGGTGGGAGAAGATGGAGGGAGGGGGAGAAGCATAGTGTTTAAACTGAACAGGACAGAAAAGAAGTTTTCATAACCGGAACAGAACATTTATCTGATCACTTACAAACAGAAAACAGTATATAATTAGGTAAGGTGCTCCAAAAAGAAGCAGTTAAGTTGCTCCAGTACTATGAAGCTTTAAGTATGCTTAAATCTCTGTTGCATTAGTGTCCAGTTGCACAGTGCACTCTTGTAACATCTCAGTGTTTCCCTCGAATGGGCAAGGCACCATTTCCATCAAGGGTCCTTTTCTCCATGGCTGGTTACTTCAAATTTCTGTTGAGCATCCCACCCCCAACACAGCTTAGTCCCTGAATTTGTGAATGTCATTGACCAGTCTGTAGTAGGGGTAAGCTTCATTCGCGTGTGGACAGTTGTAGCTGCACCGGCAGGACTGGATCATCATGATGCTCTTGGTGAAGGTTTCCCCATCATCGCAGCGGAACCTGATCTTGACAGTCCTGGTCTGCTGGGGCGTACAGCACCTGCCATCCACACAGGAGCCACAGTACTTGGGGCGGTACTTCTTCACGCTGGAACAGCCGGCGTAAGTAAAATTCACTGGGGATGGGGACTTCTTAGTCTTGGTACATTTTTTTCCCTTCTGCAAAGGAGAGGCAATAACATTTATTAGCAGGAGATTCTTCTCCAGCCTTTACCCTCTCCCCGAAGTAGTTTGGGAAGAAGAGGAGCACCGGAAGAGTCTGTATTTACCTTTAGGGAGGCATAGCTAGGCTGGCCACACGGCCTCACTTCACATATTCTGGTCTCTTTGATGAGCTTGCAGTCGGGATTGTCGTTGGTAACCCTTGTGGAGATGCCAGTTCCACATGTCTTAGAGCACTGGGACCAGGACGTTGTTTGCACAATGCATTTGGGGTTCTCAAAGGCTCGGCTTTGTGGCTCAGATCCAAAAACTGGAAAAGAAAAGGAGGGCTTAGCCTGAACGTACCCCTCTCACTGGGTTTCTTTCTTTCCGTTGGGGTCTAAGGAGTCGTACAGCCAGCCTCCCACCTCCTCCCCGCAACTGCCACTGTCACACAGACCAGCCCACACTCACCAGGCAGCATTTTCAGGCCTCCTTTCACGATGGCAATGAGCTCATTGTTCCTGGTTAGTTCACCTTCGGAATCGTCCAGACCAAACTCTTTGCCAAAGAAGCCTTCCAGCTCATCCTTGCCTTCATCGCAGACCCACTCCTCGCAGCACTGCCCGGGGACCTTGACCAGCCTGGGGCTGGGGCAGCCTAGGTTGGGGAGGGAGAGCTCTTGCGGGCAGAGTGGGATGCAGCCCACAGCTCCATCTATGCACGTACACTGGTGTTTACAGTTCGGCTGGAAGCTTTCGCCGTTCTGGTAGATTTTGGAGTTGTATTCACACGGTCTCCCCTCGGACTGCGCTGCAGGGATCAACAGAGAGGGAAAGGAGGGAAGTGAGCGGCGGGGATCGCTCGTTTAAGCCTAGGTATCTGCTGGTCTGTTAAATTCAATTTACGGCGGAGCTCCCTACAACCCCCCGGAGACGCGGAGCCAGAACAATAAGTTAGTCAGGAATCACTTTTCCTTATGCGCGTTTAGCGGAGGGAGCCCAGACGTACTGAATCGCATTCCAGACCGCTGAAGTCATGTGCCTTTCTGCCAAGCTACCGACAACAAAGCATAACCATACAAGGACTCGAAATTACTAAAACTCGGGCCCGGCGGGGACGGGGGGCTGTCGCCGCGGAGGGGGGG